TATCATGCTCTTCCTGGTTCACCTTGCAGTTCTGCCCACTCAGAAATTATGCCTAGCTGCATTAAAGCTGCACAAAAACTGACTACAGTAATTTGGACAGTTTTGAGCATTTCTATAAGATAAACTGAATTTCCACAGTTATGGATTTACATGCAAAATATTCAGTAGTATTGCCCTAGACAGTGCCAATAATCCCTAATTTAATTGTAAGCATCTCAGCACAGCTGAGTGACAGCTATAATGGAATCAAACTGAAAGCTTACAGTGGCCCAAACTGTTGGTTTTCTTGGCTGAATGAATTAACCAAAACTAACGCTTAAAGTCTTTCTATGAAAAGACTTTAAAGACTTCCTAGTCTACAGGTAATTATTTTTCTTTCTTCATCTCATTCTTGCAAACACACTGCACTTTGTAACAAGCTCAAACATAAAAAAGCAAATGTTTGCCTTTAAACACAAACAGAAGAAAAATAGATGTTATTATGTTAATAAAGCTTTCCTGTCTCCCCAGTCTCGCTCAATCAGTTAAGAAACTAATATACTTGTACAAAAAAAGGAATACTGATTCATGCATTGTATTCCCTAAATCCTGTCAAACATATTACAATAGTTTGTTCTTGACTTTTACAGAAGATCCAGCTGACTAACAGTCCATATTCACTGCAGAAATCAAATACTCGAGAAAAAGAAACACTATACCCTATATTATAGGAGTTGAATTCTCAAAGGATAGGTGTAGAAGGGAAGTCTCCACAATATGAAACACAGAATGTTAACACAATGTGATTTCTTTATGACTCTGCTGGTTTTACTGGAAACCTAGCTGAAGTTTATGCACATCCCTGTATCCCCATATAAAATTTCCAGTCTCCTCTCCATTACAGAAGTGTAAGGTCTAAAACAGTTCCGTTATACCGATTTTACCAAACTGGCAAACATTTTAATAAGACATCAAATAAAGCTTCAGAATAAAAAAGAAATCATAAAATAAAGCCTTACAATATTTGTATTTGCTGACAGTAATGTTCACAAAAATACGGCTGAAGAAATTCTCCTGCATTTTATTTGAATGGCCTGTACATCTGCTAGAGCCAACCTAAGCATTAGATTGTCTGCTAGAGAAGGAGAGATGTGAATCAATGGGCAAATTACTTGAGCCACTGCACTGCCAAACTGGAACCAAGAGTGACCAAGTGGGAAAGTACATTATAGTTACAAATATCTTCTGCATCCATTTTTAACACAAAAAATCTGCAACCAAAGATGGTTAGTTTAGAACTTTGTTCTGAGAGTTGGGAAGAGGAAAAAAAAAAATTAAGATCTACAAACACAATTCATTTGAAATACAACAAATGCCACCACTTCACACTAATGGAAATACAGACAGGCAACATTCCTATTAACTTCACTGGCTGATATCCCTACAACCTTTATCCATGTTTATAACTATGCATATAAATCTCTCCAGGATCAGGAACTTAAGCTGCTTCAGAAAGTGCTTAAATTGCAATGAATAATTTTTTCATTAAATCAGTGACCAAAAATAGCATGTTCTTTTATTGCCAATTATCTGTAACTAGATAAAAATATCTACTCGTTGGGAAATTTTCACGCAGTTTTCTGAACAAATTTTAGAAGGTATCTTGTGAGGTACACAGTAGTTGGTATTACCCAGTAATATGCACCCATAACTTAATAGTAGTCTGTGTGATTGATTTTTTTTTAGGTCACATGACAATGATCCTTTTTTGTTAGATGAATCTAATGTTTCATTGACCTTTTTAAATAAATGTAAGACAGTGAGATACCAATTTATCTTCATATCTACACAAATACCATCAACAGGCCTTAAAATTCAGTTCCTACAAACTCACAAAAACAGAGGAAATGCTGCTCGAACAGTTAAAAAAGAATATTTCCAATATTCATCAATAATCAAAAATCTATAGCATTTTTCACCATAAGAGTTCACTTTAAGAGTCCTGGACAAAATTCAGCATAGCTGAAAAATTCAGATAGCATTCTAGATTTCTGTATTCCGTACCCCTTTCTTCCTGTTTCTGCAAGTCTGATAAGAACACTACAACGAAAAACACCACCCTTGCAATATTCTGTGTAGATTGAAAAAAACAAGTTTTTTTTCTACCTGACATGGCAATTTGTATGCCTTCATTGCTCATATTCAGGAGTTTATAATATGTCATCTACACCACATTTGATCTGCTATTAGAAACAAAACTGGCCACATTCAAATGACATCAGAATTGATATTGAACAATCACATGAAAACATTTGCTTGGTCATGTCTTTTTTCCTTTTTTTTTTTTACTATCTGCATAACCTTTCATAGCCTAATCCCAGGCCCTGATCCTGGTACCACTCAGATATGCATGTGTGGAAATGTTAAATTGGTATTTTAATGTTTTAAACACTGGGGTCCTCAATTGTACTCTGCTGGTTTTATATGCTTTCCTTCTTTGAACACAGTTGTATTCTAGGGAGAAAATTATATAATTCCACAATTAATTCCTACCTGCTGTGACAGTGTGCCCTCAGGGTAAATATGATTTTTCATATTAACACACTGAAAGCTTCCACTGTGATTGACCTTAAAGACACTGACAAATTAATTACTCTGCTCATCAATATGGTATGGCAGCTAAAAGATTTGAGCAGATACTCAGCCAGTCAACATGCATGCTGCCATCTGCTGAGTATGACAGCAAGGGATTTGTACCACTCTCTGAAAGAAAAGCTGTGCTGCCTTCCAAAAAATATGTTACCAAACCCCTCATTCACAAGTCAAATAAAGACTGTTCACATTCTGTAAGAGAATGAGTAGTATCTCATGGATTTTTTCATCCTCAGGTTTAAAACTAAAAAGGAGACTATCTCAGAGAACTCATTAAAGCTTTGGTTTTGAGTCCACTGCCTAACAGCTGAAGCTAGGTTCTACCCAAAAAGATCATTAGATTTACATGAACACTCATGCAGTTCAAATGTGAGCAAGGAAGTTCACAGCTTATTTATTTCACTGTCAACCCTCAGTATTACTCTGATTTAAAGACATCTCCTCTGGCTTGAGACAAAAAAAAATGGTAATAATGTATAAGCTGAAGTTCCTGCAAAACAATGGTCAGGGCATAGCACAGAGAAGTGACCTTTTAAAAAAATTAATTATGAAAAAGTTTGATATCATTCACACAAACACTACAGCTAGCTTCTGGAAAAAGGCAGAGGTCTACCAAAACCACCTAATTTCTTTTCTTTCTGATTTTCAATAAAACTCCATCAGATTGGAAAATAGAGTAATTTCTACACTACTGTTCCTGTAATTAAAATTTGTATCAAACTGGTCTACATAGCAATATATATATATATGCACATAAACCCATATAATATACATCACATTGGTCAAAAAATACACACTGATGGGAAATACAGAACCTCCATTTTCTCAGATATGTTGAGGGATAAGGTGGGTTGCTCCAAGTCCTGCCCACAGCTAAAGAGACAAGCCAGTAGTGCACATCACCACCATTTATACTGTTACAGGATAACAGGACAATTCAGGCTGGAAGAGACCTCAGGAGGTCTCCAGTCCAAACTGCTGCTCAAAGCTTGGTCAGCTGTGAAGTCAGACTTGGTTACTCAGAGTTTTATTCAATCTGGTCCAGAAAACCTCCAAGGATGCAGACGGTGCTGCCTTGGCTGGGCAACCTGTTACACTACTTGACTGTCCTAATAGGGAAAAAGGGTTTTCTTAGGTCTTAAAAATGTGTGGTATTTATAGTTTTCATGCTTCCTGAATGTCAGATATTGTAGCTATGATTCACTTTTTAGACACTCTAGTTATAAATGAGGGATAGCCTTCCAAAAGATCAACAAAATTACTGGAATGTAAAGCAGAGTATGAGAGAAAACAAGCCATTTTGCTCCAGAACACAGCTTTATTACAATTATGGATGATTTAATCCAGTTATTCCCTCTACAATTTACAAAGGGGCTGATATCCTACAGAAAATTGAAGAAAACCTTTATAAACTCTCTTCTCTAAAGAAGAGACCCTGTATTTTGACCAAGTATTACAGCCAAAGCTATGAATGAGTGGAATTATTTCATCTGTCTCTTTGTTGATGTTTTGCAACAGGATAGGAGTAAAATCAAAACAATACTAGAGCCCACTCTCAAGCATTTGGGGTAACACTGGGCAAATGGAATAGGATAAAAAATGGATAATATGTTGGACATGCAAGTTAGAGACTCCCAAATTTGATATTGTAATGAGAAAATAGAAAACAAATGACACTGTACAAGGTGGAATGCAGAAGTAGCTGAGCTGTTAAGGGCAGCCAGAGTAACTCTTAGTCAGCACACTTGTACTGCTTTGAGACCTGGGTGGAGCTATTTTGGAGGTCTTGTCACTCATGATAATCAGTGCATAACCCGAATAATCTTCTCAGAGATTAAGAAGAGCAGATACCACACCTGATAATTGCCAAGAGACCTATCAATTTACTTTTTAGAAACACTTTAGAACATAATAAATACTGTATGCAGTAAATCAAAACACCTTCTTAAAACATTTCTCTTCCTAACATTTACCTTTTAAAAAGCTTCCTCCCTGCTTGACCTGATCTCAGAGAGCATTCCAACAAACTTCTTTCACAGCTATGAACCTACATCAGTATTTAAAATGTAATCCTAAAGAAGCACCTGGAGAATTCCAGTAAGCATCATCCTAAACAATTACTTTTTCAGATAAGTTATATTCTAACATCCAGCTGGAATTAAAATATCAAATATGTGTCAATTTATAAAAAAATATCCTAACAGTGCCTGCATTTATGTCATGAGGTGTAACAAGCCCTTGGCTATATGAGACAGAACTATGAATATTGCAATAGTACCACAAATAGCACCACATTGCCAGGTTCTTTTAAAAATTGAAACTTATTAAAAATCAAAGCAATTAACTACTGTATTACAGAAAACACCCACCTCTTAAACTCATTTGTCTTTGTGACAAGCTCTTATGCAAACTTTTCTTTCTTCATTCCAGCAGAAATTTCTGCACAGAAGACAGAGAAACAGTGATTCTTCATTTGGGGAAAAATATCAGGTGTGATGGTAACATTCAAAACCTTAAAATGGAACAGAACATAAAATCCATCAGAATGTTAGCACCATCACTTACAATCACGACCTAATCTTTCTTCTAATACCTGTGACCTTAACTGATTATGACAAAGACTGGTATTGCAATTGAGCTTTTAGCAATGATGCCTTATTATTTTATTATTTTGAGACCCAGTCCTGCAAGATGCTGAGCCCTGAGAACTCACCAATGATCAGTAGCTGAGGATACCCTGGTCCTTTCAATTCCCATAAGCATCATATTGTTACACTGGAATATTGCAAGCAGCCTCTTTACTTTGACATTTTGGTCAATATTCATATATATGCTATCAGACACAAACTAGTTTTGCCTGCATATAAATGTTTAGAAAATTACTATCAAAGTAAATTCGTACATTTATCATCATACAGCATATTGCTCTTTGTTGCTTCTGCAGTATGTATTTGCAAAGCACATTAAAAATACATAAATTAGAAGAAATATTTAATATTAAACACTCTACAGATTCCTAAGATTTACCTGAGGATGTAATCCGCTACTTAGCCCAACTTCAACTGTGACTTGACAGGCTGCAAATTATGTATTTTAAGAGGCAATAGTCTATTTTAAATATTGCCAACCGAGTATTTTACTGTTTAAAAATCATATTATTCATACTGAGAAATCATACCTTCTTGATTTTAAAAATCTGTCAGACAACCCCAATTTCTATCAAACAGTTGACTAGATTTTATTATCTGTACTAGAATTCTGAAATAAAGCATATTTCAACCTTAATTCTCCAAGTTTCATTTATTCTATGTGATCGTGCAATTTTAAGAACACCAGGAAGTTCATCAAGAATAAACTTACTTTCTTTTCAATCTTGCAGAAGAGAATCTTAATCCTTAAGTTTTATGATATTTAAAATTATAAAAGTCTCACATAACCAAAAATACACTCCAAGGCTACCCTGCTGGGTTTGTGCTGTAATGTACTGCCCAGATTGGCAGTGGAAAATACAGAAAGTTTGTGAGCAGAGTTCCATAATCTTCTATGAAAAGCGTCCTTGGTTAACAAGCATTATTTATAGATGCTGTCACTTTTACAAAGTGACATTCCTACATTTCACACTGATGTAATCTTTAATTATGTTTTCCCATTTCTATTTAGACAGTGATTTAAATATAAATATAACTGAATGTAAATCTGAAAATACTATAGCTATATTATGCGCTAAAAATTACGTTAGCACCTAAAAGGCCAAAAGTAGTCCTGAACTTTGTCCCACATGAGCAATATTCCTGTATTTCATTAAACATCTACACACCCTTCAAATGGCTAAATTAAATTAATTAGTATTTTACTGATTTTTCTATTCATCTGGTTTAACAACACTAGAAGTGTTTTGTTTCTCTCATGTTCTTTACAAATGTAATCAAATGCAACAGATATCATAAAAGTTAGCTTCTGTATCACTGACAGTTTAATTTTGGTTCTATCTTTTCCTCTCTCTTTAGTCTCAATGAGACATCAAAATCTTTTCTGTAATGAAAGATGCATTTATCTCCCTCAAGGACATTTCAGCTCTGTAAATGTCAGCAAGGGTCTTTCTCTCTTTCCAATTCCCTAAACTTTTCATTCTGATAATCAGGAGAATGCCTAGAATTCCAAATCTGGACCACTCTCCTAACTTAGTAGAAAATTCAGCACCCATGAAATATTAAGTGTAAGTATAAGACTGATTTCATGAAAAGTTTTCTTGTCTAGAAAAAATACTTGATAGCACCGCAATTAAAAAGTTTTCACATGTCACCTGCTATAAATAAAGATTATCTTTCTACAGATCCATATGTATGTTGTCCTTTTTCATAACTCTCATCAGTATTTTCAAGCTGTCAAACTCAGATTGCAAAACTTTGAACTTATTTATATATAATGTGGTACCTACATCCAATTGATCAACTTCTGTGTACCCAAGTGAACAAGTATCTGTCTTATTCCAAGTGCCAGCAATACATCTTGCAATACGGCGTGAAAAAATATAGTTTTAACTTCAGCCACACACTGAGAATACCCTTCACTATCTAGACAAGCCGTGCCACCACTTTGCTAATACTCTGTCACTGATGCCTGCAGGAAAGATTTTGATATCCCTTCTCTTTTCTATCACAACCAAGTATTTACCCTGACTGCAGCCATCTCCATACAAAGAATTCAAGAAGAAATGCAACTCACATAGAATTTCATAGGTTTTAAGGATGATTAAAAGCTTTGTTAGAGAGAGATCTTCACAATCAGGTATTTCCTTGCAACTTCAGGGCATACAGCAGAAACAAAAACTTCTCATGAGGACTTGAATTTCTTTTTATTTTTTCAGATACACTTTAACAAACACAATTATTTCAGATACTAATTGCTAGGGATTCTCAGCAGTCTTCAGATAGTCTTTTCTGGCAAAGAAAATATTACTTGTCAGGTTGCTAGAGGGGGAAGGAATAAATCTATAACGTATTTTTGTTTTCTTCTTGATAGATTGTTAAAATAAAGTAGAAAATAATTAGGTCATTTTATGCTATCCTTTTGAAATATATTTTGGTACCTTTTCATATATCAAACAAATTATTAATTTGTAACACATAAAAGTATCTGATGAGTTCAGGAGATCTGAAGGCTCATGTTTTTAGGGGCCTGGGGAATCACTGGTTTTATTTTTAACTGTACTCTTCATATTTCACTGATTTCAAAGACAAATATTCCAAGCAGCATCAGGAAGTGGAAAAACATACTGCATCACTGAAGCTCCTCAAAAAGTTTGCATTCTATATTTAATTTAATGTTTCATACACACGTACCTATGGCAGACAGGAAAAAAGAAGGGAAAAAAAGCGTGGAGAAAATAAAGGTAAGGAAAGTTAGAGAACTAGTCACTGAGGGGCTCTAGAAAAGATCTAAATGCCATCAATCCTGCCTTTGTGCCGTTAGAATCTGTGTTCTTTTTTCACAGGAAATTGTTTCTTGTGAAAACACCATTCACTTTGGGGAACTTGAAGCTTTCAGTGCTTTGGTATCCTTACTTTATTTAATATTGAATCCACATGAATACATGCAGCTTTTTTTTTTTAGTGTTATTTCATGGAAAATTGAACTTTTACATGTTTTCTACAGAAAAAAATTACTAACTAATCTCCTTTCTGTATCTTTGATATTTTCTTTGTAGAAGCCAATTCAATAGAGTCTGTATCAGAGGGGATTCTCTTTCAGTTGTTGATCCTGAAATGTCAATGCAAGCTTATTGATAAATTCTATAATTTCCTTTCCGTGTCATAAAGAACAATACTTTGTAGATCTACCTTCCACGGAAATGAAAGACTGTATCTTTGTAAAAGATACTGATGACCAAAAGGGGACGTCTAAGGTATCTTAGCATAAAATATAAATTTTAATCCACTCACAAAAGCAAATCTAGTTATTTTAATCTAAGAAGAAATTCAAATATATGATAAAACACTGTAAGAAAAAATCAGCAATTTTGATCTGGGAACACTATGCCAAGAACATGCAATGTTTTCAGATAGCCTGAAAGCAGAACAGTTTCTGCTCCATTTGTCTTTCAGCAGTGGTCTTAGCTCTTTAAGTCAAAAGAAACCAATCTTATAGACCCAGAGACAGTGAGAAAACCATGCCCTGTCCACACTTATCCTAGTAAGACATTCAATGAAAACACTCTCTCAAGACTGGGGTTTGGTTTGGTTGTGTTTGAGGGTTGTTTCCTCACACGTTTTGCTTTTTAAGGATACCTTTAGCTCATTTTTCTCTTTGTTAACATTACATAGCACCTAAAAAAAAAGCACAAGTGTGTTGGCCTTTCTGTGCTAGCTGCTGAAAAAGCATATAACCTAGACCCCAGAGAATCTAGTTAAGACCAAAAAATCGCTAACTGAAAAGCTGAAAATCACTTTTATATTAATCCTGGCTATGCCATAAGCAAGATTACCCTGCCCATAGATCTTGAGCTTGAGTCTTCTAAGGGAAAAATAACTGAAACATTAACATAGTTTGCCCGTGTTAACACATTAGTTCTGTTATTTTCACTTGGGCCATACTCAGCTGTGCTGAATGTGCGTCCCTGAGGCAGCCAAGTCACACTCCTGCCTGTACTGGGGAACTGACCTGCACAGGCAGAGAGGAGCTCACCCCAAGCCTCGGCTGGCAAAGCAGCGTTGTCTGACTGCAAAGGTGCTGGCTGATCTAGAGAAAAGGAAACTTGATTGCATGTTACATGTCCTTGGGAAGGCTTTCAAAGGACCTCCACCAGCCTGCATCTACGCAGGCTTTCCCACCTCCAAACCAAGGAGACATGCTGGTCCCTTGCTGGCCCACGGTCCAGCTAGGGAGCAGAGAGCTGGCTCTCCCCTCACCAGGGCTCAGTCAAGCCCTGACTTAACTTTCTAGGTGGGGGAGCGAGCCGGCGGGATCCCCCTGAGGAAAGCCCTCTCCCCGAGGCTCCCCCCCTCAGCCCACACTCGCCCCTTCCCGCTGCCACGGTGCCAGGTGCTCCTTTCCGAGAGCCGCCCCTGCCCGCCCGCAGCCAGCGCAGAGCGGTGTGGGCCGCACGCTGTGCCCTCCACAGAGGGACGAGCCCCGCCGGCCACTGCAGGGGGGACAACCCGGGTGTGGGGGGCCGGAGAGCCGCCCCCTTGCACGGGGCACCCCGCGCTCCTGCAGCCCGACCGCGCTTCTGCCCAGCCCGCGGCTGCCGCTGCCCTGAGCCCCCAGCCCGGCCCAGCCCAGCCCAGCCCGGCCACCGCCGCATCCCCGGCGCCCCCCGCCCGGTCCCTCCCGGCGGCGCTGATGTCACATCCGCCACCCGTGTCCGTCCAGCCGCGCTGGCTCCGCCGTCTCCCGGGTCCAAAGTTTGGCGGTGGGCTGGCCGGGGGCGGAGGGGAGGGGCGGGGGTGGGACGGGGCCGCGGAGCCGCTCTGGCAGCTCGGGCAGTGCCGGCCTCGCCCGCCCTCCCCGCGCCGAGGCTGCCCGCGGAATGAGCGTTCCCCGGGCGGCTGCTGCTGCCGCTGCCGCCTCCAGTCGGGCTCGGGCGGGCGGGCAGGGAGCGCGGCTGCCGGCGCGGTCGCTGCAGCGGGAGCGGAGTGAATGACCGAGAGGAGCGGCGCGGAGAGGCAGCCCCGGGATCAGGATGCGGGCGGCCGCCAGCATCCTCAACCTCCTGCTGCTGTCCTTGCTGGCCGGCCTCGATCCCTCCAAGGTAGGAGCCGGCCGGGCGGCAAGTTCTCCCGCAGCGGCGGAGCCGACCCGCACACGGCGTATGCGGTAGCGGGCGATGCGCTGGGCGGCCCCGGGGAGAGGCGGGTGCGTGTCCTTGGCCGTCCGAGGGGCCAGGCGGGAGAGCTCGTGGCGGGAATGGCTGTCCCCAGCCCCGGGATTCCCGGCCCGAGGCGGGACAGCCGCCCGCGGTCAGGGGGCTGCGGGCGCGATGCGGCGGCGCCCACGGCCCCGGTCCCGGAGCGCAGAGCGGGCACCCCCCGCACCTGCCCGCGACCCCCGCACCGCCACACGCAGGAGCTGCACCCGCCGCAGGGCGGGCTGGGCGGGCTCCCCCCTGCCCGAGGCCGGCAGCTGTCCAAGGCCGGCAGCTGCACAGCCGGAACGAGCGGCGATCCGTCCCACCCAAGGCACGGAGGCGTTTATCGTGCTGGGTGACTGCAGCAGTGCCGGGGAGGCGGCGAGGCGCTGGGAGCAGAGATCGACAGCCTCCGAAAGGAAATAAATTTGTTTAGAGTGGAACCGGAGGCATCACGTGAAGACACTGAATTTGGTACTATAGCCACGCTCGGGGCTGCTGCAGAGTGCCGTTATTTTCAACTGTGTTCAGGTCACCAAAAGATCACATCTGAAACTGAAGTACTGATAAAAGCAGTATGATATGTTTTAGCCATGCAACCTGGTTTATGACGGAGATTTTAGATTAAGTCATTTAAAAAATCGGAATTGCACTATACCACTTAAGAGCAATAATGACTGAAAGCCCCTAGGTCTGCAGCTGTCTGTAGAGCTGTATTTTATAGATGTAGAACTTGTCTCATTTGCCTTTTTGTGATGTGCAGTCTTGTAACTGTGAACATTGAGAAAACATTCTTATAGTATTGCAGTCTTATTACCAGCAGCAGTCTGTACCGTGTTGACACAATTTATATTGTGTGTTGCTGAATGTCAATTTAACAATACCATTTAGGTACCAGACAACCACGTGAGGCAATGTTCAGCTCTTCTGGCAGGTTTTTCCTTTAAAATAAAGATATTAATCATATACAAGTATGCACTGAATTTCTAACAATATGGAAAAGATACTCCTCTTTAAAAACATAAAAACAGAACCTAAAAAGGAAGCCAGTAGAAAGCTGATTTACGCATGCAGTATTCTGACTGCTTTTCAATCAGTAAGATACAGTGACAACTTAAAAAAGCAGGAGGTGGTAGAGAATTAATAACATTATCTAAGAAATCAGTTATATCAATTCTATTTAATAGGAGCTATTTGAAAGCATCAGCTATTGCTGTGTCTGTAGAGAGTCATCAGGCAATGCACACACAGGAGTTTCACATCTGTGCAAAGAGCAGCACATGGTCACATTATAATTACAGGTTTCCACACACGCATTTTCTTTATTTTTCTGTCTTCTCTTACCCTTAGTGAGATCTATAAAGTTAAATACTTAGAGACACTGCATGAAAGCAGGAAAACCAAAATTTGTGTCACTCTGTCCCCAGAAGAGTAGAATCACTAGCGAAACAAACAGCTGATCGAATTATTCTTTTAGTTCAGGCTCTGAAATAACAGTGGGAAGAAATGTTCCATCTTATGTGTCTGTCACCATCCAGCACTGAAAACCAGGACGAGGCACTGGAATGAAGTGGCATAAATTAACTTTTGAAACTTTGCTTCCAGCCCTTTTTGCTTTGGCATACTGTGCAGAAGGCATGAAAATGGCCTTCTATTCATCACTCTGTGTGACATTTTCAGGGATATTAAAATGTTCTTTACTGGCTATTTTGACTTTGTCAAGGGTCAGGAATAAAAAAAGCTAAAAAGTCCCTAAGATTAGATTAAAATTAGAATTCTTAGTCAAAATCTGGCGTCTATCAGAGTTAAACTGGGTTTTCATAAGCAAAAAAAAGTGAAGTCAAATTCATGCTACACCACATTAAGCATAAAAAAGATGTCACATGGCACAGAATTAATGTTGTTGACTATGAACAATATATTTCATATTTCTATGAAAAATTATATCTGTAAAAATGTTTACAGGCTATTTTTAGCAAAAAAGTACAAGTTCTGACTGAACTCTCACTTTAGAAATGGAACTAGTACTCAATTATTTATCTTGCTTTATGCTAAATTGAAATAGAATAATTTTCTGCTCTGCAGGTTAGGAAGCAAATATATGATATAAAGCTAATTGTAGAAAACAAGGGGATGTTAAATTCCTTCTTTGTGCAGTATGCTCATGATTAGACAACTTTTTACATGCCCTTGACACTCACAAACTATTCAGCTTATGGAGATAAATCTCATCAGACATTTCAAGTATACACAATACCTTCCTATTGGCGTCCCACATAATTTTCAGGTAATAATTTATTTTACTGATCAATTATTTTAAAATAATGCCTGGGGGAATAAAAAAGCTCTAATTTAATACCAGGCCATCACTGACTCAAGACTGCTGTCTACAGGCACTCCTATTAGGACAGAGATGTTATGCTAAACTTACTCGGTTATTTACTAATAGTGAAGTGTTTAAGTATCGCCATCTTATGGTAAAATATGTAACAAAAATTTATATATAATTCTTCAGTCTCTGGAACATGAACATTTTCTTTCAACCACAGTAATTTATTGCCCATGCTTTTGAATTCTTTTTTTTTTTTGGCTAATAACCTTGGTATAGAATATTGACCCAGTGAGGAAATGTTTCTTTAACAAATTGAAGACAGCTCACTAACAATAAATTTAACACACTTAATGCTAATTACTGAGTATCAATTTAAGGTACTTATTAAATGTTGTATTTGTTAACTTTATTCTATTTTTTCTCTGTATTTACATAGAAAAATAAAAAAATATTGATGATATTTCATTAAAGGTCCATTTCCAGCAGAGTGATTAGACATTCAGCAGGAAGCCAGCTAAAGGGAAAGAACTTCAATATAAAGCCTTTCTTTTGTCTTACTCTTGAAAAAATTATCTTGAAAGAAGAAACTGTTCAAGATTAGGACATTTTTAAGAGTTACTGCTAGATGGCATATCTGTGCTGCTTTTCTATACCTGTAGTTTTCTGTAATGGCATTCACAGTATGTAATGTGGACTTCTTTTGTAAAGGTTGCTTTGCTGGCCATCATTTGATAATCACAGTAGTATAACCAAGCAAGCATTTTACAGTCAGGTAAAGCTGTTCCACATAGAAATCAAGTTCAGTGTGTTTCCAAGTCTAGATGGCATTTTTTAAGTTTAATTTTGAAAATTTAAATAGATCTGAAAAATCTGTTCATGTTTCAATGCAGTTAATGAACTTCAGGCCTTTAAATTTTATAATGGCTATATATCCTACATCTGTTTCATTTCCTTTATTTGAATTTTGCAAAAAATGTGTCAGAAGACAAGTGCCAAGTACAATCCCAAATGGAAGCTTAGTATCATTAGGGACAGTTACAGAAAGCAACTGTGATTTATGTTCCTTGCTCAGGATAACAGGATGTTTGGGGAATGTTAACACTAAAAAATAGAAGCAAATTTGAAAGCAGTCATCTATTTTTGCATGCTTAATTAAACTTTTCATTTTGATCTTTGGAATGGCTGTGTTTCTAGATTTTAAAAATTATGATTTTCCCACATAGTCACACTATACAAATAGCCACTAAAATCTTTCTTTTCCCTGCATTTCAAGAACTTTTCAGCAGGAAGAGTGCCCTGCTTTAGTGCTGCTTAGCAATGCAAATTAATTCATCTCTATTGCAAGATTTTATAAGAATACTATGTACAAAAAAAGGTTACCACGATATACTATTATTATTGGAAATATGACTCATGGGACTACAATACACCGCAACATTTAATGGAAATCCCATTACCTACTTGGAAATTAATTGACCCTGTTTCCTACAGTATTAGTAGTTAGTCAATATGGAAATCATACATAATTATTTAGCCTGCAAGATTTAAGAATGCTTTAAATCATTAATTGCTGAATGTGGTCAACTCTCACTTGGTGCCTGTTCTCCTATTTCTGTGCAACGTGATTCAGAAGCCATTGAAGAACATCCTATTACTATGAATATATCCTGGGTTTTCTCCCAGATGTCATTCCAGTTACGTTACTCTCTCTCTAGTAACTTCAGTCAATGTGTAAACACCAGACTGTTAACACTACTGGTTCTTCCTGCACTGATCAATCCAGTGCCTTCCGACCTTTCAGTCCTGGGAAAAAAAGGATGCTTCATATATTTTCTGTTCATCTACACTCAATGTCATACATCCACCATTATGTTATATAAAATCACAGAAAGGTATTCACTACATCATTTAAAGTAACATATATT